GTTCAAATTGACGAAAGTCGAAACTAGGTTTCGCGTTTCGTCAGCGCGAAACCTCTAGGTTTCGCCTAACAACTCTACACGAGGTGACAATTAATTTTCAGGATTTGGATTTTCGGGATTTTGACATAGAACCTTTTTTTAAAGTAGACTTTTCTCTAATAAAAGACTTAAGACCAAATACATAAAGTTACTTATATGTACGAATCTTTTTGCAATTAAACTTTTAGTAAAAATAAGTTGGTGAACTAAGTTTTTTGTGGTGGTTAAGCGATTTTAAGTTTGATACAAAATCATTTAATTTGGGTAATTATTTTTGAACCCGGACCAATTTTATATATGATTTAATAATATTTTGGTTTGGATTCAAAAATAATTGTCCATTTCTCTAAGCTGCGCGCACCATAATACAAATAAATTAGCCTTTTAATATTATATGTCACGGATGATGCTGAACTTAAAACCTATTTAATGTACGACTTTTAAAATTTTTTGAGGTACGTACGTACATTTTTTTTTTTTTTAGATTTGGACTAGGATTTAGAGGATTTATATTAAAAGAATATATATAGGTGGATTTTAGTAGGGTTTATATTTTTAAATTTCAGCACCATCTGCGACATTATATCATCATAATTAGTTAAAAATATACGTACGTACACAACAAAAAAAAGTTATTCTTGCATACTTGTGTATCTTATCTATCAAATCAGTCCTCCGCTACATTCCATACAAATATCAATATACATATATATATGGAGTTTTTACCTTGAAAATCACGTTATGGAACATATGATTACAATGTCTCATGATTTTCAAGACAAAGACCACATATATAGATATATATAATTCGGTTGTATATCAGAATCCCGACACATAAAATCCCGGCACACAAAATCCCGGCAACAAAATCCCAATACACAAAATCCTGACAAATTAAAATCTTAATTTTAATATTTTTAGAATTTTAATTTGTCGGGATTTTGTGTATCAGGATTTTTTTGCCGGGATTTTGAGTGTCGGGATTTTGTGTTTCGGGATTCTGATATACAACCATATAATTCAAATAAATCAACCTATGGATCTTTAGCCAATAAAAAAACTTGTGTTTCTAGGTTCCGGATTTCTTTATGAAATTTTGCTTATCACAGAAATAGCACAGTAATAAATTGAAAACGACGGGTTACACACTATAGTTAACTATTAATAAATTTTTATTATATATTGACTAATATATTCCCATGTTACTATATTTAGCAAGCCAATTTTTTTTGCTCTACGTACGTACGTAGTAAAAAAAGACTTAATATAATGTGTAAATAGACACTGCATTTTATAGTACGTATGTACTGTACGTACGTACGACTCTCGCGCATTCATTGCATACAACTGATTTAGCATGGATTGAAACAAGTTACGTTGATTACATTGATTGTTGTACTGATCTTACATGCTTCAAATGGTAACTCGATACAAAAATAAATAATCTTATTATTTATAAAAATTTGTCAAATTGTACGTAGATTTTCATATTATATTATGGGTGCAGTTCATCACGAGTGGCAAGTTATTCAGACTATCAATTGACATTATTTTAAATTACTTCAGGCCATTCATTTTTAAACCAATGCACATCATCTGAAAGTATAATTTCTATCCAGATTACAAAATAACAGATAAGTTATTGATTGACATGGGTTGACGAATAGATTTGGCGTTTGTTATGCAAACCGTACATAAAGTTCTTACTATATTTAAACTCTGAATTATCTTGTAGAAGAATTCCTTCCAATTTATATATAAAATGCAATCAAATAATTCTCCAACTTCTGATATTTATCACTGTAAATAGTCTACAAAATAACAGTAAGTAAAGAATTTTTTCGTGTAATATCGCAACGAAACTTATTATCTGATAACATAAATACGGTAACTGATAATCACGAACTCTAAAGACAATATTTATTTATTTGCGTTCATATTAGTGCTCATTTTTTACGGTTTTCTTAATTTTTGCAAAAGTTTTAAGGTTGATAACGTCGAATTCTAGTTGATCGATAACGTCGAATTTTATAGTTGATTGATAACGTCAAATTCTATAGTTGATTGATAACGTCAAATTTTAGTTGATTGATAAAGTCGAATTCTAATCAAGCATAACAGGAAACTTATCTACATATGAGTTGTCAGACAATATTATTTGGCCTTTTTTTTTTTATGTTGCTGTTACTTAATGTAGCTTGTCTTGGGTTTGGTAAGTTAATTTAGTTGTTAAGAAAAATTTGCCTACGATGTTCAATTCTCATTAATATTTTTCAATTATGCAGGAATTTTAAAATATATAATTTTTAACGAAATTGAACGGGAAGATATTCCAATGGATTCAACTATCGAAAACATGTATTTATATATCTTTTCCTTCAACGTATTCTTTAAACTCAAATTCTCAAACTATTTCTCGACTCTTTTTTAATTTTAATTAAGTTACTTAACATTGACGGCTGTAACTCTTCTTAAAGATGGTAAATGTTTATTTTTTTTCATTCTCAAAAGAATTGTTGTTGAATTTTTATTTTATTTTTTTTTAATAATTATAGTGACTTTTACTTGCGCAATATGTCGAGGATCGTATAACCTTTATAAACCACTAGAACGATCAACGATATGTTTTATCTTTATATTCGCGTGGATAGCAATTCCAGGTATTTTGTGTTCACATGATTAATTATAGCGTATATTCCAATACTTATATGCATACATACAACCCTTTTTTTTTCTGATTACAGTAATCTATACCATATTCCTTTTCCGAGATCTAGGCCAAATCCCATTATTGTGTCCTCAAACTTACCACTACAAATCAAAAATACTTAATCAAGCTTGCTTAATCAGAATGATAAGTTTCTTATTAATGTGGTCGTACACTGGCATATTTTGCCTTTCGATCCTTGTTGAAATTACAAAAGAATATTCGTGTTATCGCAAAATTGATAACGACTTAGAAGATTTAAATTATTCGGAAAAAGAGCAAGAAAGATCATTTCGTCAACTATCCTCGACTTCTGAAACGCCAACATTTTCTGAAAATAATGTTTCAAGAAATGAAATATCCATAAATGGTTCTCATAATCGGAATTATAATGAGGCAATGTCAAAAAATCAGTTTTCACCGTTATTTCGACAAAAACCTACTTATAGAAGTTCTATATTTTCTCCACCTTCTCATGAGCCGAAATAATAATTTTATTTATTTTTGGAATTCTCGATGTAAATTTACCATTAATTATAATAATAAACTTGTATCAATTTTTATGCGTATAAGGGAAATAATTGTATTCCTAAATTTTCATCATAAAAGCGTCTTCTGCAAAAGAAAAAATATCTTTGGAATACAAAGAAAAATTTATTTAGGAAATTTAATTGCGTTTTTTAGAATTTAAAAACTTTGTTTTATTTTTAGTAAACCTTGCACAAATCACTTTTTTTTCTAAAATTTGCATATTGAACTCTTTGAGATACTAATATGGTTAGAAACGTACTGTATTGTGTAATTGTAATAACGATAACGGGACTTTGTTGTGTTAATGTCCATACTTGTCATATATCAGATGAGGTACCAGCGAAATATGCCTGGGTACACTCAGCCGACGCAATTTTTTTTTTGTACAAAACCGTTAGCCTAAATTGTCGTAATAATTACGTATCTCTATACTTACAGAACAGAAACCATTTACCGGTATTACGCTTAACGTTAACGTTTAAGTCTCACTATTCTTTATTTAGTTATATTTCGTATTCCTAATAGGGGAAGGATTGTGGCATAGCTAGATGACCTTAACCCTCAGCAAAGGGTTAAAAGCTCCCAGAGAGGGTTATAAGCTTCCAACGAGGGTTAATAACCCTCAGACGCAGTTCAACTCCAAAGCTAAAATGTATGAATACGATGAATAAAGAGGATATCTCATCCTGCTAGCTGCGCAATAATAGTACTTGCGTACTTAGTTCCAACTAAACTAACCTCCTTTATCATTAAATTTGACCAAACATCCATCCCGTGTAACTTGTGCTAACTTGTTACGTATAAAAGATTCCCTCAGGGGTAACACCGGCCATGCAGCCAATTGTTTCAAGTTTTTTTTTTGATACATTAAAAATAATTAAAATAAATTGAATCAAGAACGATATTTTGAGTGGCTGGTAAATGTGTTTGTATTTAATTCCTGCTCAAAGGGACAACTCAAACCTATAAGGCGGCGTCCATAATTTACGTAGTACCAGATGCGGTACATACATGTTGCTATGCCTGATATAGAGCAAAGTTTGGCGCTATGCCTAATATAGATCAAAGTTTGGCAAGCCACATCGACAAAAAATTTTAAATCTAAAATCGGATCAACTGTTGGTTACGAAAAGTTATTTTTTATATCGTCATAAAAAAAATTTATTCCTACCATATTTTTTTATACAAGACCCGGGTCTATTTCATTTCACCAATTTTTAAACCCTTTAGTAGATTCCGGGTCTAGTATATGTATGCTGCGAAGTTATTCATAAAAAGAAAAAAATTCAAATGCATACACAAATTTGTACCTATAACAGGTAGTTATTTAAAAAAAAACCCACATTTAATTAATAGATCCCATAGTTCATAGACAGGTCTAATTCATGGTGGATCTCGGATTTGAAATTGAAAAAGTCTTAGCAGATTCGATTTGCAAGAACACTTCTTTAACTTCTTTGAGTCTTGGTAGGTATAAACCCAGAGCAGAAGCTAGAAAAGCCTTAGCAGTTGTGTTTTGCAAGAACACTTCTTTAACCCCTTTGGACCTTGGTAAGTATAAAACCAGATTTGAAATTGGAAAAGCCTTAGCAGTTTCATTTTGCAAGAACACTTCTTTAACTCCTTTGAGTCTTAGTAGGTATAAACCTGGACTAAAGTTGGAAAAGCCCTAGCAGATGTGTTCTGTGAGACCACTTTGATAACTTCTTTGGATCTTAGTAAGTGTAAACCTGGATTTTAAATTGAAAAAGCCTTAGCAGATGTGTTTTGCAAGAACACTTCTTTAAATTCTTTGGATCTTGGTAAGTATAAACTCAGATTAGAAGTTGAAAAAGCCTTAGCAGATGCACTCTGCAAGAACACCTTAACTTTTTTGGATCTTGGTGAGTATAAACTTAGAAAAGCCTTGATGGATGCATTCTGTAAAAACACTTCTTTAACTTCTTTGAGTCTTGGTAGATATAAACACAGATTTGAAATTTAAAAAGCTTTAGTAGATTCAGTTTGCAAGAACACTTCTTATCAGATACATTCTGTAAAAATGCTTTGCTAATTTCTTTGAGTCTTGGTAAGTATAAACCTGGATTTGAAATTGAAAAAGCTTTAACAGATTCATTTTGCAAGAACACTTCTTTAACTTCTTTGAGTTTTAGTAGATATAAACCCAGAGCAGAAGCTAGAAAAGCCTTAGCAGATGTGTTCTATAAGAACACTTTGCTAACTTCTTTGAGTCTTGGTAAGTATAAACCCAGATTTGAAATTGAAAAAGCTTTAACAGATTCATTTTGCAAGAATATTTTTAACTCCTTTGAGTTTTAGTAAGTATAAACCCAAAACTGAAGTTGGAAAAGCCTTAATGGATGCATTCTGTAAGAATGTTTTGCTAACTTCTTTGAGTTTTGATAAGTATAAACCCAAATTTGAAATTGAAAAAGCCTTAATAGATTCATTTTGCAACAACACTTTTTTGATTTTTTTGAGTCGTAGTAGGTATAAACCTGGAGCAAAAGCTGAAAAAGCCTTAGAGATTGTGATCTGGAGAAGTAGTAAGAGATCCAGATATTTGTATAAATTTGTTAGTTAAAATGAAGAAGAAGTTGAATAGTAAGAAAGCAGACAAGATTGTTAAAAGAAGTGTAATCTTGTAAAGTATTTATAATATTAGCTAGGAAAAACCAGTAATAGTGAAGAATAGTGATAGTTTAAAGATAAAAAAATGAATTTGTAAGCTATCAAGGTTTTTAATTTGGTTAAAGAAATGTTGTCTTTAGGTTTGTGAGATTTAAAGTTTACTAGGGGTTAGAATATATTGTAGAGACATATTAAGAAGGTTTAATATTAAGTCTGAGGAGGGCAGAATGCCTAATGTAGTGCTTCAGTAGATTGTTGGCATATGTGGCAAGAATTAGGATAAGAAGAATATCTTTTATAAAGAATGTGTAGAAATGGAAGATCATCAAGTAACAGTTCAACTCTAAATGTTTTAAGTATTGATGATTAAAAGCTGTGTATGAAGTTTGAAGCTTTTTAATTGTTATTAAAATAGAGCCAAGTAGCATTCCAATGAATATCCTGGAAAAGAGAAAACCATTGTTGGAATCAGTATTAGGAGAACCAATGTGCAAGAATATTTGCATTGCAAATAGTTCAGATGCTACACCAGACAGGAAGCTCTAGAGAGAAGCCATTAAAGAGAGAAGTAAATTGAGTATTGTATATATTGCTAGGGTTAAGGGCAAGAATTGGTGTATTAGAATAGTTATAGACTAGTTTGTTAGCTTTGTTATTAAGTTCATTCTTCTGTTATGCTGAAACTTTATAAAAGATAATTAAAAGGTTAAATAAGAAGCAAAAGTTTAAGAATATTTTTCAGGTAGACCAGTATGAAGTATTTGAGAAGTTTGCTAATTTAGTAGAGTATAAGAGGCTGTTGTATTTTGAGATCACTGATTGGGAGTTAGTATAAATATAAATAGTAGAGTTTTGTAAAACTGTGCTAATGGCTGACAATATTGCAAGAAGTTTAGCTTTAAAGAAGTAGTGCCAGAGTTCAATTTGGGCTTGAAATGTATATTGTATTATGTGATTGTTAATTTGTAGCTAGCCAATACTCATAGAGTATTAGGAGTTTTCTATATTCATGACAGAACTATCAGTATAAAAAATGAAGTTGTTAAAGCTACTATTTTGGTTTGCAATATGTTGCAACATATTAGAAACAAAACCAGGTTAAAAAATTAGAGGGGTTTAAGTAATTAGAATATTGAGGCTTGGTAAAAGAGAAGAAGGGCTAGGGTTTGAAAGTATGATTGAGTATAATAAATCTAGGTAGTTAGCATAAAAGTTGAAAGTTTTGTTAAGATTAAGTCTACCAAAAAATTTTATAGCCTAACTAGTAGAAATAAGAGTAGTGTACTTATTAATAATAATATTGGAGTTTAAAGAGTAGTTAGAGCATAGAGTTGAAGTTACAAGAGGTAAGGAGTAAGGTGAAAGTGAAAGATTTGCTATATTGCATTGCTAGTGGTTTATTAAAGTATAATCAGAGTTGTTAGATTGGCAGCAAGCTTTGCTAATAATAATTTGATCATTAAAGAGGATAATAAGCTATGGCTTAAAGTGTTTGTAAAAGTAACTAGTATTATACCTGTAATAATTAGATAAGGGCTGGTGAAAGCTCAGCAGAAGATTATATACAAGAGTATTAATAGTTTGGTTTTCAAGAAAAGTAAACAAGAATGAGATTTTTTCTTTTGGAATTTTGTTGAGTTTGGGTGAAATATGTGTCCAATCAAAAAGGCAAGTATTATTAGATATAGTAATTTGGTTAAGAAAGAGTAAGTGATAATGGTGGAGTTGTTTTTTAAAAGTAAGATATTTGGGATAAGAGGCAAGAATTAAGTCAAGAAATATTAAACCTTTCTGAATAGTAAAAGGTATTGGAGAATAGAGGCTAGAATTAATAGAGTAATTAATAAATTTGAAGAGTTGTATAATTTTGAAACTTGTAGTATGTTTGTTAGGTCTATTAATAGTAGAATTGGGTGTGACAGGATACTAGTAGAAGACTAGAGATTGTTTTAAAGCTGTTGTACTCTAATTTGTATTAATAATCCAAGTAGGTTATTTAACCATTTGAAAAAGTTGGGAATATGGTATTGGAGTTGGATGTCCTATATGTTTTTGATATTGTACATTTGGAAATATAGAAGAGTACTAGTAGAAACAGTATAGCTAAGTTTGGCTTTATGTTTAACAAGACCAATATGTTGTAAGATGATTTTATTGCAGTAGGACTAGCTAAGAACAATAGTTTGTAGTCAGTATTTAATTGAAGGTATAATTACTATATTGATAATGTATCAGGTCTGAGTATTGGTAATATGTTTGGTATTAGCAATTTAAATAAGATGTGAAGATTCTGACAATATAAGCTAAGATTGTTTAGTTTGTTTGTT